CCTTCAAAAGTAAATGTTAATTTGTGGCGATCTTCTTTAGCAATTTCCAATCTGTGGAAAGCACCAGAAATATCAAAGACACTGTAAATCTTTGACTCGCGCATCTCATGATAAATGTCATCGATGAGAGGTGTGTTGACGTTTGATACGTCTTCCAAGAGATTGTTGATACGTCTTGTATCCAAACAGATTCTCCATTTTTGTTTACCTGAAGGGTCGGGAGAACCCTTAGGTGCGATGGTCAGAGGACTATTAAAACCGGATGGTTTAGCAGGCTCGATAGTTCTATCATCTGCCCATTTTTGAATTTGTTCTCTTACAACAGGTTGAAGAGCATAAGCGACAGGGTACTGTCTAGTATAAGCCACTGCATTAGGAGCTGTTTTCAAATGTACGATTGCCTCGGGAATCGGACATAAATTGTGAAGATTGATTTCTGCATTCGCCTTAATATACGGCTGAAGTACCTTCATGAAATCTTCATACTCTTGTTCAGAACATGCTTTGCTAACATTTGGAATATAGACCTCGTGGTTAACAGAATCTTCGAAAATAAGTTCTTCTCTGTCTTCAAAAGAAAAAGCAATATTTTCTATTCTAATACCAAGTTTAGGAATTATATCTCTTCCAAAGAGTACCGGTAATTTGCTCATGTTTTCAGGCATTTCCATAACCTCAAAGGAATGAAGAAATCCGGGCTTGCCTCTATATTTGACTTCGAGTGGTTGCGTTTCTCCTTTACGTTCAGACGAAACGTTTTTGCCCACATATGTGATCTTACCCTTTGTAGGAATTAATTTGTCAAATATAGATTTATCTGCAAAATCAAAGTTTTCATTGATTATTGATTTTTGGGCACCTGTATCGAGCATACCAATCAATTGTTCATTGTTGATGGTAATAGCAGGAGAATAAGGTGTCATGTTCTGGACCTCTTTTTCTGTCAAGTCAGCAACATGAAAGCAGACAATATTTTGGTTTTTGTCCTTAGCAAACAGATAATTTTTATTTTTAATGTTATCATCTGATGGCAAGGATTTGACTTTAGAATGATAAACGATAGGATTAAAATTATTATCAGTGAGAATTTCACTGGTAAAGCCTTCAGCAATTTTATTTTCGAGATTACTATAGAAGATATTAATCTTATCAGTTCCATTTTCATTGTTCTTTTCTGAAACATGTAACTGTACCTTGTTATGACGGCGATCATTTTGCTTGATCAAATACTGCTTGTATTTATCACTATGCAAATAATCGATGCAACGTTTCAAGTGCTCGTAGGAGAATGCCTCCTTTTTGCAATAATTGCAAAGGTTTTTAGCGGTAGCGGGAGCGGGACGTTGCTTTTTCTGAAAATCGTTTTCAGAACCGGTTTGTTTTCTTTTAATGCCACTATGGCTCGTCTCAGCTTTCTTTTTCGGCGAAACGTCGGTAGCCAAAGCATGGTATAGGGCTTCCTGAATAGGGCCGTAATAAACTTCAATATGTTTATATACTTCCTCTAATGTATCAAGGTAATAAGTCGCTTTGGGGCCCTTATCGTTGTGTTTCTTCAACGATTTTTTAACCTCTTTTTTTGTCATAGACAAAAGAGACTCGACGAGCAAAGCAACAGCAACAACAGAGTTGGGGAGAGGAGCGCCAGGAAGACGATGAATAGCTTGTCTATAGCGATCCACATAGTCGCGCAGAAGCTCGGTTTTCGACTGGCGCATCGTAACAAAATTTTCTATTTTGTTACTGGGTGTTGAAAGGTACCCAAAGCGCTCAATGATGGCTTCTTTAATGCTTGACCAGTTCGTCTTTGCAGGCCTGGGGTTGATATTGGTTTCATACCAACGGCTGTAAATGCTATTTTTACTAACCAAGAATGACGATACTAAATACTTACGCCAGCATGCATTCATATCACAATCATGGCTTTGTAAAATTGTTTCAAAGGCCGTAGTGAATGACTCAGCGTTCTCGTACGAGATCCTACCTTCGGTTTTAACCTCAGGCGCGTCGTCTACCAACTGAAACAGAGGAATTTCCCTGAGAGGAATGTGCGGGTGCGCATACTTTAATTGCGCAGTGCCGTGGTTTGAAAATTTTTTATGAGGTGGCTTACCCTCGTTAATCAAATCCTCCATCAATTGACGAAGCTCATTGATGGTGTTGCGCATGTTCTGAACTTCGGAAGCATCAGAAGTCGTCGAACATTTCAAGTGCAACTGGTTGATTTGAGTCTTATACCGTGCGATCAAGACATCGTTTGAAATGATAGTCAAATTATGACCATCCAACTCAGGGGCATTAATGTTAATGCTATTGTTTTTATGATGCGAATTAGTTTCATTGCCAACATCATTATATGCAAAATTATTTGCAGAAGTGGAAGGATGCATGCTTTCTGCATGTCCCATGGTTTTATGAACCGTCTGTTGGGACGATCCAACACCAGAAGCAGTGGGAACAGAAGGGGCAGAAAGAACAGCAGCATCATGCATCTCCGTGTCTTCGGACAGAGAGCTGTCGTAACCAAAGAGGTCGGCAGGAGAAGGAGAAGAAGGTTCGTAGTTGCTTGCAGTAGACATTTTAGTTTCAGTAAGGGTCTTCGTTAAAAAAATTGTGGTATTTGACGACTTGAGAGTTAAATATCACTTAGTTAAAACAATAAAGTTAACGAGATCAAACTAGTAGGTTTTTATTTTGAATCAAGTTAAGTTCAAAGAGAAGAAAAAATATCTACTGCAAAAATTTAAATATCTTCTTCATATTGCGGAACCTAGAAACTGACAGCTGAGTTATTCTACTCAAAGAAGACGTACGTCTTCTGAACCGTAAAAGAATAGAATTCTCCCTTGAGGAGATTACGCATCTACCCGGAGCGGGTGGACTTGTAAACGTATCCATGGCTTGATCTAGTGATCATGCAACTAACCTATTTTCCCGTGCTAACCATTATGTAGCACTGCTTGCAGGAAAATAGTATTCGTGCGTGGTGTTTGAGTTGAGTGAACAGTTATTGTAAAGGATGATCACAAACTATTATCTTGTCATCATTCTTTATGCCGAAGGCAGGGAATAGTACTTATAACCTATTATACCTTGGTGTTGAATCAATATATCCTGCATGTCCATATATTAATTCTACTATATATCCTATGTCATATAGTAACGTATTATAGCAAAATAAGTAAACTATATATCCTAAATGACAACCTGTTCAGCCTTATACGAGGTAGCTAATCTCGTATAAGAATCATCACTTATTCTATATTCGTTTCCTACTCTACTTCATATTATTTCAGCAGTAATGAGGTGTGAGGATCTTGTATAATTTGTATACGAGTTCTCCACATCTCATATGATGCTGTCAACTAAACACAACACTTAATTCACGGTACTCATATATTAGAGTTTATGTAGTTTCTAATTATTTCTGGTTTGCAATATTGTATAATTCATCTTTATCCTTCATAAAGTGAATTATATCTTTAATATTTGTATATCATCTACCCTCAAATACGACATTGTCGATTGATAGACGAGGTATGTCGGCCTGATCGTTCGGATTGTTGGTATTGTTTACCTGGAGAGGTGGAAACTCTCTGTCAATGTCCATAGCTGTATAAGCTGCTGTATTAGTAGCTTGTTGATTGTTGTTAGCATTGTCATTGCTAACAGAGCTGGTGTTAGCGTTTCTAGTGTTTCTGCGAGTAGTGCCAGTCATAGTATTGTTTGTAATTTGTTATTTTTGTGTAATAACAGTAGTCTTTTCTTATCGTTTAAAAAAAATGATTTATCCGTTGCAATAGCAAAAGTATTAAACGAGCTTAAAAGATACCGTTTTATTAAATGAGAAGAGCGTTGTTATTTTATGATAATTTGTCTTAGATCAGAATGGTTATGTCTCAGTTTTCTTTAAAGAGTGGATTAGATAAAGCATTGATGTGGATACATCACTATAATCTGTAACACGACACACGACACCAGTTTAAAAAAAAATATCCAAATACTTTTTCATCCTCCTACAAGCTTTGTGCACAACACACGACACTATTTTGAGGCACGTGTCGTGCCTCAAAATATTGTATACTAATTAGTAATCTTAACAATGTAATTGTATAAAAAGATCAAGAACATAAAATAAAGAACAGATAAAATCTTTTCTCTCACCTTAAAAATAAGTCCAAACTAATAAGTAATAAGAAGACCGTCCACAAGACAAAAATCTCTATTACTAGGCACGACAAACGACAACATAAATAAACAACCACCCACCACTCAGATCTTATTTAAAATGCTGTTAGGCAAAAAAGAATGCCTTCTGGCGGAATCGAACCGCCGACCTTCTGCTTACTAGGCAGACGCTCTGCCAACTGAGCCAAGAAGGCAGGCTCTTTTGCTCGTACAACACTTCTCCAGACATTCACACACAATTACCTCTCAGGTCACGTGAATATCAGTTGTTTACAGCCATCCAATCATACAACGCTAAAGCTAGGTACCTGCCCAACCCAGCCTTAAGGATACACCATCTGTTTATTTTTTTTAGACGGATTACCTCCACAACACACGATATCCTTCCGTAACGATATCACCTTACAGCTCCCAACAACAACATGTCAACCCAAAAATTGGAGGAAACACTCGCCCGAGTGTTCACAGTCCTCCAAAACTTGACCGAAAAAGTCGACGGCCTCGCACTTCAGTTCGCCGAGCTAGTGACAAAATTCTCCGACCATGAGACTGCGAATGATTTTTTCCAGCGGGAGTTAAATCGTTTAAGCGCAACTGTGCAAAATCTTCAGAATTTGAATTTCGAACAGAAAAATGCCGCTATCACGCCCAATATGGCCGCTAGAGGCTTAAAAGTAGCAGATTCGATCTCTACTCCCAATGCCACTTCAAAGGCCACTGCATTGAGTACCGCTGCCAGCAAATATGCTATACCCACCACTACTCCTACTACTACCATCAACACCACTGCTACGACGCAAACTGCCCCTACTACTCCCAAAACTGCTTGGGTTCAAATTGTTAAGCGTCCCGCCCCTAAGAAACTAACTGAGCGTAAGCTTAAGGCCACTGTAAGGGCTTTCAGCCAATATGATCCTACTGCCCCACAAGGCTACTCCTACGTGTACATACCTCGAGCTCGTAAAATCAACCGTAGTGAAATTCGCCACCGCCTCAGTACCATTGGCATTGACACTGGTCGTATCGTAGATATTACTCTACCTGCCCACCGTGTGATTGGCCTCTTGGTACACAACGACTTTACTACCGATCTCTCAAACCACCTCAAGGCCTGTAAAGTTGTTCCTTTGGAACACTTTGACCCTTTGGATGAAAAGCATATTGCTAATCCTGCTATGACCAATGCTTCTGCCACTGACCGCACTCGTTTCGCTAAAGCCCTACAACAAGACCGTTGTATCCGTGCCCTACGATATGTACGGGCTTACCTGGTACCCAGTGTTGCCCGTTTTTTTGTTGACCAAGGTTGGATCGCTGATTCCATTGCCAAGGAGATTGTTGCGGAGAGAAACCCCCGACCATTGAAACGTACCCGTGATATTGGCTCTTCTTCTACTACTGCTGCCGCTTTCTTGACCTCGTTAGGTTTTGTCACCGGTGATTCTGAGATGATTGAAGCTGGTGAGGAATTCCACGAGAGCGCCTTTGCTGATGATAATGATTCTGTTGCCTCATCTATAAATACAGATGGTGATAATGATGCCTACGAGATAAGCTCGTCGTCATCGGCTGCTCCCCGCTTATAGGGGGCACCACAAACACCACCAACAATCATCTGACATTGTCCATCGGTCTTTGGAACGCCAATGGTTTGCAACAAACAACTGTTGCCGATGTCCTCTCTCACTGCAGTTCCATGTCTCTTCTCTTAGTTACTGAATCCTGGATTCTTTCCCCCTCTCGTCTCCCTACTT